GTGGGTGGGTTTAAACCTTAGCCAAGACTTATTTTTCTTACAACGCCTCTCTCCATCTTAGAGCATGAATAAATGCCAACAAAGAAAACCTGATGAAATCATTCTGAGAGGTGACCTAGCGAAGGTTGCTCGCCTCCCCCAATTCAGGGAGGGATAACGATCCAATAGTCTCTTCATGACTATGCACCATCGGCCTTTAAAAAATTTCTAAAAATTGTCACTTAATTTGAAATGTCTTCTCTTCAAGTTGATTTTAAGCCCATTACAAACAAAGTAATGTGCATTAAAAAAACTTACCGTTGATGATTATTGGATAATGATCTAAAAAAGCGCTGTAAACAGCGATGCGATAATCTTATCACGATTACATCAGAGTAAATTGAGTATAGTACCTCACAAAGCGATAACCTTATTACCTTCATACATTGTATCAAAGTAAATTAAAATATTTCAATTTCATCATCTTTTGCGTACTTTTCGCCTTAAAAAGACTTCTTCTCATCGCGATTTTAGCAGTCTTTTAAAAGGACGAGATCTCGTTGTATTTCATGTAAATCACATAACGCTTTTTTCTCAGGCAACCTTGGCGCAAGAGGAGATTAGTGCCAGTTTTTCTCCACTTCATTCTCCTGTATCCAACTGTTGTTAATGCCAGTTAGCTCGGAACAAAGCCTAAAAGGCCAGCATTTGATAATCATTCACGTATACATATAGTTGTATCTAAATGCTGTCGAGTTTTGGTAAACACGAGGAAACTACTTAAAAAAACGAGCCCGTACTTTAGTCATGACCTGTCGGGGAAAGATTGCTTAGCTATAAATGCTATGTGTTTAGATAGAGGGAGAAGGAATTTAGCTGTGGCTACGGCCTGTGTGACTAGGTTTTCTATTTATATCTCACTGTTTACGTCCTAAGTCTTATGTTTTTAATTTTGACGAGAAAACTTCTTTGAACTGAAAATCACAAATTTCGCTGGACGACGGTCTTTAATTTCGTCCGTCAATTAGTCTTAATTATCTCTATCTATGTGTCTAGATAGCCTGTTTTTTCCTCTCGATTGAGTCAACCAATTTTTTTAAACCCCATTTTATAGAATATCAAAAAAGAGTGGTTTAGCACGCCAGTTTGACAACCATTAGAAAGATAATCTTGTAATCATTTTTTTTTATTTAATTAGATTATTGATTTGACCGCAGACTGATAATTCTGTTTCCGGTTTCCGCGAAACTGTTTGCATAAGACACAACTTGGCACACTTGTCCCACCAACTGAGTAATTTGGAAAGCAGGGCAATTAGTTGAAACAACACCCGAAAACACCTGTTTATATTAATGCAGGATACGCATGGTATCAAGAACCATCTTCTCTTTATTATGAGGATAGATTTCGCCATTTTCAAATCATAGAGAGGTTACTTTGGGGTTTTTCCAATCTCTCAAATTTACTCTTTTGCTAAGGCGTTAATCTTTTTTTATGTTATAGTATCTTCGTCCTTCTCTGTGTACTTAACCTTTGTAGACTTCAGTTTATGGTTGTTTCCATTTTAGGCAAGATTTATTGCAAATTTGGAAAGAGGGAAAAAAGATAACTAATGTGTCACAGGATTCTTAACTATAAGAAGAAAAGTGGACATCAAAGTCCAACAGTTGCCTATGCTTTTGCCAAAATAAACTGTCATTGATCCAGTCAAACTAAACATTAATTTTAGAAAGCAGGTTTTGGCTTACAAGTCGGCAAACATACTTCCTCTTGAAGTATTATGTAAGAAAACATGAGTGGTGTGTAATCAAACCCTGGACTGCGGAAACCAATACATACCTTCAAACATGAGATTAAAAAATATTTAAGATTTTAAGGTGAGTAAATACACGTAAAAAACAACTTACTATCTCTCTTATTCTCTTTATTAATAATCCTCCTGGTAAATGTTTAAATCAAGAAAAATGCAAAGCGTAAAGGCCGCCAAAAAAAGTGTGCATTAGTATACGTAATCTGCATTATGCTCAAAGAGAGCAACCTTAGACTTCATCAGAGTTAAGTGCTTCTCGTGTAAATACCATTTAGATAAAAACCAAGATAGTTTGATCTTATCTATTCCACGTGTGCATTTTCCTAATGAAGAGATTTTATCTAAAATTAACGTTTAATGAAAACTCATCATTAAGGTTTGAAGCTGAAAAGTGTTCCCTCAGCTTTGTACCAATCCCTATGTATTGCAGATTTCACTACTAAGCTTGTCACGCATGGAGATCTTCGCGTACAGTCATAAAAGACTGGTAGAAAATTTTGAATTTCATAAGCTAGACTAAGAGAACCTGCCTCTGATGATGTTTTAAAAGAATGGTCTTAGATACTTACTGAAACCCACCTGTTTCTTGAGACTCTTAAAGACCATTAGATTTTATCTTCTTGAGAGCTGAGGACGGTTAAAAAGCCCACCAAGTTGCATTCTTCATGCCAAACGTGTCACTGACTACCTTTTTACTAAATGGCCCTTCGTTACTCACTTAAAAAATCATATTGGCACTGTTCCTACACACTGTAGATACGATAAGGTCTAAACAATAGCTAACATAAAAGTTTACCGGACTCATCCTTTTGTAAGAAGATGCCAACAACTTGGAGATAGAGCTTAGAAAACTTACCTTAAGAGAACCACTGACTCGAGGTGTGCGTGATAAAATCTTCGTCTGGAATAATAATTTGCGGTTACACAAACTTGACGTAGCATGAACGTTATCAGATCACAAGAACATTCTCGAATGTTATTGAATACACCATTACAGGTTCGTAAAAATCACGATATGTGATGGGGTTGATGTTGATCCTAGATGCTCTTAGGGCTTGTCGAGGGGAAGCACATGAACATGATGAAGAAGATTTTCACGTAATCTATCTTGGGGTTGACAACATACCTTGGTAATACAGTGTTTTGAGTTTGGGCTGATTAGTAAATCTCAACCTTCGAGATATCTGAAGTTTTCAGACTGTCAGAAGGTGATAAACTTTATCCCTGAGCGGACGTTCGTGCAATTGGGCTCTAATATTAGGACCTGGCGAAAAAAAGTTGAGTGGTGTAGAATTTTCATAAGATTCCAGATAGGTGAAAAACGTCTACGAGGAAGGACAGCGTTGTTGTTTCTCTCGTTAATGATGTTGTTGTTATCGTAAGGATTGCTTAGTAAATGAATAACAGATGTAAAGTTGAGGCGGTCAAATCAAGGGTGAAATCGAAGAAAATGTAGATGTGCGTCTGATATCAAATACCTGAAATAAGCAAATTGTCGAAATGTACAAAATCCCACACAGCCGTTCAACTGACCCTTCAGCTGGTGTTTTTCGCGTATCTTCGTATCTGCGTACCTTTTGCTCCGGAAACGTCTAATGATTCAATTGAAGCTTGGTTGGGTCTTATACGTAGGCTCACTTGATCGTTTTACATAACCACCCACGTGTACAGAAGTACTTTCTCGTTATTTGTTTTCAACCAAATCAGATCAGCACTGAAACAATGTTTTGAAAAGAAAAGAAGAACACGTCTTCCTTCATGCTCTTTAGTTTGAAGCTGTAGAAGTTCCAGATTACTTCCACATCACAAAAATGCCTTTCAGAAAATAGTATGATTTCTAAGTTCTGCTGCCTAAAATGGTCTTTTCACTTTACTCCTTAACGTAGGTGTTTCACAGGATTTTTAAAACTATGTAAGTCTTGAGAACAATCCCAGCATGAGACACGTTGCGTCTGAAACAGAGGTCACCTCCTCATACTGGAATGTTTGAAAAGAGTATGGATTTCATTAATTTTTTTTATGAAAATTAAGTTTTTTATTTTTGTCGCTAAGGGATCTCAATTCAGAGCGTTGAAGTCGTCTGAATTTTGGCACGAGGTAAATGGGAGTGGCACCTTTGGGGTAAAAGGTTTCTTGTCGTTCCAAGTCATCGGTTACTGAATGACTTTTCTTTCTTTAAGAAGTGTTTGTTATAGAGCCTATATAAATACGATTTTTGCTTGGCAGTTTCTTCGTTTCCGTAGAGGAATCTGATCACAAAAATTGCCACACTTACAAAATGTGGTTTTGGGTATTCCTAGATAGCTGAACAGTAGACTGGGGCAAGTAAAATACCGTCCTTTTTTTTTAACATGTCGAGGGGAAAAAAAGTGCTTCCAGAAGTCAGAAAAATTACAACTATGTACTCGCGTGACGTAAAAAATGCACTCGTTTTCAGCCAATCAGAAACGCGTAGTTTTTTTCACGAATATTGTTATATCTCTAACACTGTGTAGTTCATGTATGAAAAGACATATGACGCATCATCACTGAGAAAAAATGCCAGCTGGTAACTACGAACACATTCTCATAACCAATTTTTTACTGATGTTTTGAATAATTTGGGCCTTCATTGCAGCAAACAATCATAAGTTTAGGCCTTGTTCATCAAATGTAAACGGATTTGAGAAAAAGCCTCGATGCCATTGGTAGGAAATCAATGATTGTTTACTTTTCATTTTAAAACCCCGATGATTAATATTGAAAGTTCCATTTACAACGTGGCACTCATTTCTAAAGAAGTACACACTAAGTCAAATAAAGCCGGTAGTATCTTGCCACCTATCAATCAAAAAAGGACCAATTAACACTTTCACTCCCAATATCTCTTTAGTAATTCTCCTTACTGTCTGCCATACAATTCTCATGATGTTAGCTTCGGAGAATTTGGTATTGGACTAATCATCCCCTAATTGATATTTTTAGCTTTTCCTATCCCTCGTCTGCTTGATATTGTAATAATATTGTATGGAGAAACTCTGTCTTAGTCACTCATGGGAGCTTATGGCATGAGATGCACTGATCTCAAGCAGTTATATTTTTAAGGGAACGGAAAATTAGGCGACGCAGACAAAAGTGACTATCCAAATTTAAATGAAAAAAAAGTGAGTTAAAAGATCAGGAGAAACGATCTGCTTGAATCTTGCTTACAACGCATCTGATGGTTATGTGGATGTCGGTTTTTACATGGCTTCTTAGCGCTCTGGCTCTTCTGGGAAATGGTTTGGTAATTTACCTGCTGGTTGTCAGGAAACGACTCCATTCGTCAGCCAATGCATTCATAACTTCCCTCGCCTTCGCTGACTTTTTTGTTGGGCTCTTTACGATGCCATGCTATCGTATGACATCAGTTTTCTCTGGATACCGAAGCGTACGGCTTTTGACATCATTCCGTTATTTTCTCTTTTACACTTCTGCCAGCAACTTATGCGTCGTAACAGCGGATCGATTTGTCGCCGTAGCCTGTCCTCTCAGATACATAACTTTTATGACTTGGCGTCGCGTCTTTTCCTTCATTTTTGTAGCATGGCTAACACCCTTCACAGTCTGTTTTCTCCCTGTCACATGGATATATTCGTCTTCCGTAGAAACGCAAAAAATCTGCAATAAGGTTTTCGTCGCCTTTCTGTTGACTTTTTTCGAATTTTTACCTTGTATAGTGATGGTAAATACAACCTGGCGTCTTTTGTGCATTTCTCGTCGGCACACTCGCCAAACTCTCGCGCTACAATCACAGTTAAAATTCAACCATCCCACTCTAAACTTCTCTTCTTTGAGAGACAGAGAGAGGAATATGTCCTCAGCAAAACTAATCAGTGTTGTTGTTGCACTGTTTGTATTTTGTTACACTTCAGAGATGATCTCTTCGCTTTTTCATCTGCTAAATTTACACAAAAACATTTGGAGAAACTATTTTAAAAATGATGGAAGGTTCTTGTTTTTGATAACTAATTCAGCTGTCAACCCATTCGTGTATGCTCTACTAAAAAAGGATATTCAAAATGAGTTTAGACGTTTCTTTTCTCGAAAACGTTTTCGCTGATGAGACCTGATGAGTTATTATAATGTTCCCCCTTTGTAATTGGCGGCGCAAAGATTTGAAATTCATACTCTACGCATTACGCATATCCTAGATGGAAATTTTCTGCAGCAATTTCAGCCCTATCTAATCTTTTGTCATTTTTGAATCTTTTCTGGTCCTTTTAAAGACTTATTGTATAGATAACTAAAGTCATACAGATAGAAATGATGTCGGAATTATTGCTAAGGTATCCAAAATCCTTTAAAGAAGCACGCTCTTGAAAACATTAAATTGATGTTAAAATTTATGGCTGTATTGGGTAAATTTTCTTTGATGTTGGATTAAAACTGATTTGTTTTGAACACTTTTCGATTCAATTGAAATCTACTGTTAAACGTTGTACGCCATCTTATTTTTCAAACAAGATTATTCAAACAATAGACCGCAAGGGATATTGGGAGAACACGAGCAGACTCGCCAATTTACAAGCCGCACTATGATCTGCACTTCAAAAGTCAGGTAGTGCACACAAGTATGCCCCCAGCAGCGAATCGTGCGTCATACACTGTGAGGCAGAACTTTGTCACTTGAATTGCGCTGGTGAGTCTTGCACCATTGTCACGTTAAATACTCCCCGAAGTAGTAGTAGTAGTAGCAGTCGCCTTCAGATTACAGCCTCGCTTGTATTGATGTTATTGTTCCCGGTGGCTGTTTTCATGCGATTGCTGTCTGGCAAATCCAAAGCTCAACGGGGAGACTGTACTGATTTTATTGTAATGTTTAAATAGTTTCGAAAAGAGAATTGTTCTCGGCAGCGCAGAACACACAAAAATAGACGGCTCCACATTTTCGATATTTCTCTTTAGTATTAATGAAACTATAACGGGTTCTTCCATGATGATCAGTAAAGAATAAATAATGAGTCGCAACCGAGATTAGTGTCCTCGTACTCAGAAAACAAATTGTTAAAAGTTATTAGCAAAATCTTGGGCCAATCGAGGCAGGACATGTCCTTAGTGCCACGGCGCATGGTTTTCTGTCGAGATTTACATCATTTTATTGATAGATACCAACCGCTAACGGTTAAATGAAATGAAGTCTACATAAAATGTTTAAAGAACCTTTCTCTTTTCTTAATTTTCGTCCAACAGACTGAAATTGGTCGCCGGTCGCGACATATGACAATGGATACCAAACTTTAATCATTAGGTATTTTCACTTCGCAGCATCAATCCCTCAAAACCCCAAGCTGTCCTTACCGATTTATATTAGAGACTGACTGACTGACTGACTGTCCGACTGACTTACCGACCGACCGACCGACTGACTGACTGACTGACTGACTGACTGACTGGTTGACTGACAGACTGACTAGAGGACGTAAAATCGTAACTTAAAAGTGAGTCAGACGCTTCCGCACTGCCGAAACAGCTGTTTATGAAGACAAATTTTCTGTCATCACCAACATTTTACAAGTGCAGATAATAGGTCGTGACTTGACAAAGAAATTTTGGCCGAAGCGGACAAATCTTCAAAGGCACGGCCGATAAAATTTGTCTCTCTTTTTGAACAAAATCGACCAAATAAACAAAATTGTGATAAACTTGTCAATCATTTGTCGTAAAACCTACGACCAGCGTGTAATTGAACAAAAATCAGTTTATTGGGGGGGTAATAATCGTCATTTGTCGCAAAATTCGGGTATTCTCAAACTTTAAAGAAGATTAGGATAAATCCTGAAAATCAGAGTTGGAATCCATCTGTAAACCATGGTTCTTACGTTTTCTAACGAGTAAAGGAGACCACACCACTCAACAGAGTTTTTCATAAATCCGATCCGATCTGATCCTCTTATGGTCCTCTGCCCTTCGTGGTGGTCAGCGGCTTTGACTAGACTTCATGTTACTACAATGGTGGCCGCTCTTAAGAGCAGATCAAAATTTGTCCTTTGATTTTGTCGTAACTCTCCTAGTTCTTTTTCCGCTAGTGCGGGAACACCCTCGGTGATCTAAAACTGAAGAATTCGTCACAATAGAATCTTTAAACAGATTTAAGAAAGCTACTAAGACTCTTTTGTTTGCAGAAGCTGTCTAATTCTCTGTATGTAATTTTTACGTTTCTACATCTCGTTAGTAAAATTTTTATCTTTAGCTTTAACGTTTAGATATAGTTGAATTATTAACATCGTAATGCGCAAATGAAAATTTTATACTTATGAGGTGTTTCTGTAGTTCATTGAATGCAGGTGCATGTGAAGATCATTGTCTAAAAATTTTGTGAATTTTTAATCTAATGTTAAAGAGATATGACTGTTCTTGTTTGGTTGCCCACCGGGGGGCATCATTTGCTAATTCTCAGCGGCGATAATAAAATATCAAGTCAAAAACTGCAAAGATATAGTTGTCTCCATGTGTCATTTTAGGTGATATAGATAAATTTTTGTAAAAAAAACATATGAAAAAATCTTGATTTTTTTGAGGATTGTACCACCTGAAGGGTGTGGGCGGAATATTTCCAATGAGCGAAGGGATAAAAAAAAAAAAGGTTTAGCGCAGCTTTTTTTTTAATATTTGTTTAAATCATCTAAGACCCCTACAAAAACATGAGCGTGTACAATCTACATACGGCATATTGAAGCCGTTTTTTCCATATACAGATTTCTTTGGCCCCATAGAGTTCAGTGAGGACCACCGGAGAGATGTTTACGGCTAAAAGTTGACGGCAAAATTCTTGTAACTTTACGACTGACGGAAGTTGGCAAATCGATGTTTAAAGGTTAACCCCGTCGATAATCTCTTCTTTGAAATCACTATATAATTACTTTTAGTTGATAAAGAGAAAGGCTAACTCCACTCGGATAAGACTCCCATCACCCACACCCTCGGTATTTTTTGGTCTCCGAACCCTTCTGCAACCAACGCCATCACCATAGCAATGACAGTTATCTGGCTTTTATCTAAGCGTAACTCTTGGTTTGGGTCCTTTGTATTCATAAAATAAGATGAAAGAAAACGACCGAAATATCTTTCCTCGGTGTTGTTTTTGAACGGTTTGTTTGTTTGTTTGTTTGTATTTTCTTGTACTCTTTCCGACGCTGAGAGACTTTATAATGTAACCATAATATTTCCTCACTCTGTTGAGCGAAGTTTCCTTCCTTTTAGCTTCCAAAATGAGCAGCACAGTTTGCAAATCTCGACCAAATTTCGCCCAGATTTACAGTTTCATCATTTTCAAGTCAATCTTCTGAACCATCATCGGCAATCTTTGCCAACTCTTGGTTTGCAATTTTCTCTTTTGGTTTTTTAAGATGGCAAGTTGACCGAACTGATTTATTGTTTTTCCCTTTCAGTAAGATGATAGTTCTTCTGATAATTTTTCTTAGGGTTCAAAACAAAACGTCACAAAACAAAAGAGAGAAATTAAAAAATCGGCATTTTTATACTCCTTTGAAAAGGCACACTTAAAGGAAACCTTGATTTTTATCCCGATCATAAAAGAAACGATCCTTAAGGTCTGAAATAACAAATCTTTCATCTTTGTTTGACATAATAAGTATGGCATGAGCCGATTTGAAGCTACATGATTAGAATATAATTGTGTTTTAATGGCATTATGTTCTGATATTGAAATTGCATCAAAAAATCGTCATCAAAAATTGTTCAATATTTTGCCGCAAGCATAAACGAAGAGTCACAGCTTTCTTTCGCAGCAAATTGAAAGTTTGCACTATTATGAGAAGTTTAAATGCCACATTCATACTAACATGACTAATGAAAATAAATCGCTTTAAAGATTTGGATCATTTTTACGTCGGTTATTCCTCGCTATCTTACAATCTGTCCGGTTTAATAAACTTCATGATGGACGTTGCTAATCAACATAACAATGGATTTCGCAACAGTGATCACAACCCAAACCTGACCACCTGTTTCAACCGACGCATGAAAAATTTTGAATCCCCCTGACTGCCGCAGATATTAAGGTTTCAAATTTCGTTTTCCTTTTCCATTAGCCCGATCCAGTATATTTTTCAAAACAAGTTTTCTTTTTCTTATGTTCTCGATTCTACGAGACAACTTATCCAGATAGTTTTGCAATCCGACGCTTCCCTAAGCAATCTCATTTGCCAAACCGTGGGCTTTCATTACCAATAGATATCTCATTATACGATTTCTTAACACTTAGAATTTAAAAAAAATGCAACATTCCCTGGAAATAACAGAAAATACTCCGATAATCTGTGAACGTTTAGAGCGAAAAAGGCTTTCGGTTGATTTCATTAGCACGACAAGAAAACATGCACAATTTGATTCACTGCACTGAAACCGTTTACGTTCAAGCAACTCTGTCGTCATGGATTTCTCTCAAAACAGCTGCTGTTATGATATCGATATGCACAAGGTAATAGCAGCCCACATGAGCATATTTACACGGAATGAATATTTCATGGAATACCACTTTTATAACGACTAAGCTTCTCAAAGAGGCTTAGAATCTAACAATGGCCAAAGGAAACACCCTGATGTGAAGATCGACGTGATTAAGGTATGTTCGTCAAAATTGATTCTTCACTGTAAAATTTTTCTCGTCTTTGCCCCAAGATTAAGGAAGCCATTAAGATTCCATAAACATTAACGGTCCATAAAAATTTCGTGTGAGAGTTATCGAGCGCGCGCTTGTCTCCGAAGCTGCGTGTTCATTTCACGACAAGAAAGTGCAAGTTAAAAATACTGTAGTTAGCTAGAGCAATCGAGTCCACGAGTTCAATACTGCGGAAACAAATAGTGTGTAAACACAGTAACGCTTGACTAAGTTCTTGAGTACATCCACGTGCTTTAAAGTAATCACGGTGTGCTTTGAGGACTGAAAAAGACATAACAGCGAAAAGCTTAGTTCCTTATATTGTCATGCTGCACTGGCATAGTGGGGGTTACTGCCGATTATTTAGGCAGTAAATGCCTCGTATTGGATTTTAGATAGACAGCAAAATCTGTGCGTAAAACAAAAATTTTAAAACTAAT